AGAAGTAAGGTGCCTTATTGCCAAGATAACCCGGTATTCGGTTGGTCAAGCAAGACACAGCAGTGGTTCTTCCACATGCATTCTTACCACTTCCACTAGATGGCAACATGGGCAGGATGTGGGCGTGCCTGAGTGAAATTTACCAAGGCAAAGAGCCTCTAAACTTACAGTACTCCTGGCACTTCCACCCTTCACTTCTCTTCACTTTTAAGTTTGACGATTTTCAACCAATAGTTTTCAATCTGCTCTCAAATGGTTTATGTTTCCCCATGGAAGACGATGACTGGGGAAGCCCAGTCACTGAAGCCTGGGAAGCTTTATGTAGAACTCTATATTTCTGGCAAAGCACATTACTTATCCTCATTTTCCTCTTCTTTCCCCTTATCCTCATTTTTGAACTCTACCCCAAACTCACTTCTTCCACAAAACTTCCCTGACCAACCTGGCTCTGACCCCAACTGTACATGGACCATGATATATAGACACAGAACACAACCAGTTATATATGAAAACCCAAAAAGCACCCACCCATCCACTACCATCAAGTTGTGTCTGACTCATAGTGACCCTGTACAGGGCTTTTGAGACAGTAAATCTGGATGGGAATAGCCAGCCTCATCTTTCTCTCACAGAGCTGCTAGTGGGTTTGAACCAGAGGCTTACAGCCCAATGTCTAACCCACAGTACCACCAGGGCTCCTTATTTATCTAAGAATATTAACACTTATATAGGAGAAGGCTTTGAAAGAATCATGGAAACCTGCCATCATCTTTTAATTCCACTTTTCCCAGAACTTTTTGAAGCCACCGCATATGTAAATGTAAAACTGGTAGACAGTGAACCAATCAAATATAAAGAAAGTAAATGGCTCTGTGTATCTGGCAGACAAATGTGCATTTCACAAAAACAATGGGCAAGTGATGCTGCAGCAGAAGTCTAGGAAACAGGATTAGTTACCTGTTTATTTCAGATTATCAGAATTGGTTAAAAGACTGGATATGCTACCATCTATGTGTTTCTTCTAATTTCTAGGTCCTTGTTAGCATTGAATTTAATGTTCCAAAAGTCTTTTGAGCTGAAAACTCTTGGCTAAACATAAATAAATATTATGCATAGATATTTTGGAGGGGAAGGGGACACACAAATACACACGAAACTTTAAGGACTGTTTTTAAAGCTCACTTTATTTTAATCCTCAAAAAAATTTTTTTTGTTTCCAACTTACTTAACTAATAAAATTAAGTCTACTTCTGGAAACACTAAGTATGATTGGAAGCACCAACCCCAAGATGCTATTTCCAAAGTAGCAGCGCCCCGTGTATACGGTAAAATTGCTTTGTGACTGTTAGAGAAAAGGCATCCGCAGTATCCTGACAAACAGCGACCCAATGTGAAAGCAGAAACGAACACCCTCCAGTTTATAAGTCACGACACAGCATCGCCGCCACACGAGCCACAGCAAGTCATAACCTGCTTTAGAGTTAACACACACAGCACACTAAAAACATGGTAAAGGAAAAAAAAGAGGGCTGTCCTTCCCTAAAGAGGCCTTTTAAAGCCCTATTTCTAAAACATTTCAAACCTTCATCTGTTCACAAATGAAACTGTCCACGTGCAAATCTCAGGTGCCATGTTTTCCACCCACAGCACTCCTACTTGCTTCACAGGAACAGCAGTAGTTCCCCACGCCCAGAACACAGCGAAAGAAACACAGTGATTTGTTGAACATGACCACTTAAGATGGCAACCCCCGCCACGCTGCGCAGTCAGCTCAGCATTCCACCAGAGCCCAGCACAGGCATCAGGCCCGCGATGGCCGACGGCACTCGTAACTCACCGAATTTCAGCATTTTCCTTCAACCAGCAAGGGCTTTCCCGGCGTCTTGGCAGAGGCACACAGGTCTGGGGAGCACAAACTGCCGCCCTGTTGACAGGGATCCGGTAACATCTGTGTCGCCTTCAGGAAGAGGCACTCCTCGCCACGAGCAATTCCAAATAGTTCATACCACTCTGGTGAAAACGCCACCGTCAGCTTCCCAAACGCACGCACACGAGATACTGGTCAACAGCCCTCACTTTAAAGTTGTCTTGCTTGTTATTCTGGGAGCTCGGTTTCGTCACCTGCACTGGAATGCATTATGCAGTCTCTACTTGAGAATCTGGAGCGGTCTCTGCGTTCACCGCGGGGATGGACCGGTTGCTGCCTGCACTTGCTAGCTATAAACTACGGAGACACGAGGTACTCAGCCCGCTTTCAGAGATTATCTGTGATAGGTGAATAGGAGGTATTTTCAAGATCAAGCAGAAACAGGAAATCTAAGGTTTCAACATGCTAGGTAAGAAGGAGTGGATACTTGGGGGGGGGGAAAGGGGTGGGGTGGGGGGTGGGGAGTGACCTGATCACAGATGTCTAGAAGAATAAAACACACCTATTCCTACCTGGCCGGTATAAACATGACTTTCCATTAATAGTAAAGATTGCTGAGAGGGGTTGTGCTTCTCGGGAAGACATTAATAGTAAAGATTGCTGAGAGGTGTTGTGCTTCTCGGGAAGATGACAGCTTGGAAACTTTGTTACACACACGCTTTACACAATTGATGTGTGTATGGATTGGGATAACAGTTGTATGAGCCCCTAATAAAATGTTTAAAAAAAAAAAAAGCTTGAAGGTAAACAAGGGGCCATCTAGCTCAGAAGCAACAAAGCCCACATGTAAGAAGCACACCAGCCTATGCAATCAGAGGTGTCGAAGGGATCAGGTATAAGGCATCATCAGAACAAAAAATCTTACCATAGTGAATGATGGGGGGAGTGCGGAGTGGAGACCCAAAGCCCATTAGTAGGCCACTGGAGATCCCCTTGCAGAGGGGTCTCCGGGAGGAGACAAGCCAGTCAGGGTGCAATGTAGCAAAGATGAAAAATACAACTTTCCTCTAGTTCCTAAATGTTTCCTCCCCGCTCCCACTATCATGATCCGAATTCTACCTTGCAAGGCTGGCTAGACCAGAGGATGTACACTGGTACAGATAGGAACTAGAAATACAGGGAATGCAGGGCAGATGAGCCCTACAGGACCAGTGATGTGAGTGGCGATACTGGGAGGGTAGAGGGAGAGTGGGTTGGAAAGAGGGAAACGATCACAAGGAACTATATGTGACCTCCTCCCTGGGGGACAGACAACAGAAAAGTGGGTGAAGGGAGACGTCGGACAGGGCAAAATATGACAAAATAATAATTTATAAATTATCAAGGGCACATGTGGGAAGGGGGAGCGGGGAGGGAGGGGAAAAATGAGGACTTCATGCTAGGGGCTTAAGTGGAGCGGAAATGTTTTGAGAATGATGGGGGCAATGAATGTACAAATGCGCTTTACACAATTGATGTATGTATGGATTGTGATAAGAGTTGTATGAGCCCCTAATAAAATGATTAGAAAAATAAATTCTGCCTTTAAAAATAAATTAAAAGCATCATTAGCAGCATTAAGTAGCATTTCTTATAAGCAAATCTTTATTAATTGAATATATATTTTCCGAGAAAATTATTACATGTGCATTTGTTAAATTAAGGTCCAAGTTTATATGCTTTCCCCCCAAAATTTAATGTTGGTAAGTTATTAATTCAAATGGAATATGAATGTTGACAACCGCATTTTTTACAAATAAAATATTTCTATCCAAGGAGAACGAAAAAAAAAAAAGAAGGTAAGTGTGCCTGTAAGGAGCGCTGGGGGTGCAGCGGGGACAGGTTGGGCTGCTAACCACAAGGGGAACAAACAACAGATGGTCAACCTCCCATGGGGTGCTGTGAGCCAGAAGTGATTCGACAGCCCTGGGTTGGTTGTTTCTTTGTGTTGGTGCATAGGTAAAAACAAGGCCCACACAGAGCGGGTTTGAGGGAGGCTGTGAAGTGGCAGGTTGGCAATGAGGCACCAGCTGCACCTCAGGAGAAAGAGGAGGCTTTCTACTGCAGTAAAGATTTACAGTCTCAGAAAGTGCGGGGTCAGTCTGCAATGGAATCGGCTCGATGGCAGTGAGTCTGAGTTTGTTTATGCACACACGCACACACACATCCGTACGTACAATCAGATAGCTGCTGCTGTTGTTAGCTGGCGTGGTGTCAATTCTGACTCATGGCGAGCCATGTGTGCAACTGCTTCAAATGGTTGTCAAAGGCTGTGACCTTTGGAAAGCAGATTCTGAGGCCTGCGTTCTGACATGCCCCTGGGTAGATGTGACTGCTGATCTTAGGGCTAATAATGGAGTGCTTACCCGCGTGTTCCACGCAGGACGCCAACAGTCTATTTGATGTTAGGCTCTGTATTATCAAGTCGGCTCTGACTCAAAGCCACACTCTGTACAAGAGAACGCAACACTGCCTGATCTGTGTTATCCTCGAAATGCTCGTTATGTTTGCGCCCATCCTTGCGGCCATTGTGTACGTCCAGCTCAAGGGCCTTCCTCTCCTTAGATAAGCATGCGGTCCTTTTCCGGGGACTGCTCTCTCCTGATAACATGCTCAAAGTAAGTGAGATTAAATCCCTCCATGCTTGCTTCTGAGCACAGCATTCTAGCTGCACTTGCTCTAAGATGGATCTGTCTATTTAGAACACATTTATTTATCTCGGTACTTGACAGTCAACATCACCCCACACATCGCCCCCCTCTTGCCCCTTCCCATTACTAGTATTCGGCGTGTCCTGCAAGGCCCATTTCACATGTCCCTGTATGAAGGCCTTCTATGGCCACTCATTTGTGCTTCCTTGATAGTACTCTCAGGGTAGCTTTCACAGTTCTCCTGATGTTAGCTTTAGATATTATCTCCTGTTACAAGGCTAGCTTCTTTTCTTTTATTAATTTTATTACATTTTACTGTGGTTTGGGTGAAACTCTGCAAAGACAATTATTTTCCCTTCAGCAATATACATACATTTTGTTTTGTGACATTAGTTCCAATTCCTTCAATGTAATAGTAGTCTGCCCATTTCATCCTTAGGTTTCAATTTGTCTGTCTTTTTCACTCTTTCCTGCATTCCAAGATTTTT